GCCAAAAAATTGATGCTTTTGAACTGTGGTGTTGGAGAAGATTCTTGAGAGTCCCTTGGACTGCAAGGAGATCCAACCAGTCCATCCTAAAGGAAATCAGTCCTGAATATTCATTGGAAGGACTGATGTTGAAGCTGCAACTCCAATACTTTGGCCGCCTGATGCGAAGAGCTGACTCATTTGAAAAGACCCTGATGCTGGCAAAGATTGAGGTGGGAGGAGAAGGGGACAACAGAGAATGAGACGGTTGGATGGCATCACTGACTCTATGGGCATGAGTTTGAGTCAGCTCCGTGAGTTGGTGATGGACAGGGAAGCCTGGCATGCTGTAGTCCGTGGGGTCATTAAGAGTCAGACACAACTGGGCGACGGAACTGAACTGAACTAAACTAACCTTACCAAACACTGCCTGTATTTTGCCCAAGAGATTAAGTCTGATTCTGATCCCAGTAAATATAGAAGATGGGGAACACATTGCATCCAGAGACTGCAGTTGTCAAAATCCAGGCTCTCAGAAACTGTTAGTCAAATGTCACAAATTCTTTAACAAATAAATTATATGGAGGAGGAACCTCCAGATTAAAAATGTTTGAGGATCTTCCCTGGCGGTCCAGTGGTTAAGACTGCATACTTCCTCTGCAGGGAATGAAGGTTCTATCCCTGGTCAGGGAACCAAAATCCAGCATGCCACATGGCTTGGGCAAAAAATAAGTAAGAGATTTAAACAGATTCCATTTTTAACAGAGTGAAATTATACTTTAGTGTCTAGGGATGCACTTTTTGGTGATAAAAAAATGTCTGTAAGAAAAATCAGGAAAATGCTTAATAGAAGCAAGGCAGCATATTGATTACTTATGGCAGTGGAGAAGTTGTCATGATTAGAGGCGCATGCAAGGCGCCTCTAGGGCTGCTGGCAAAGTCCTCCCTTGACCTTGGCAGTGTTTGTAAGATAGTTCATTGAACTATACTTTTGATTTGTATTCTTTTCTGTATTTGTGCTTTATCTTAGTAATATTTAGAAAACTTGTGCAACTATTTAACTCTTCATATGTACACCTTTTATTTTTTTTTATAAAAGTTCAGTGCTTGAACAAAGTAAGAGATTTTATCCTCAGGTAACAAAAAGGCAG